ACACATGGGGTCGACAAGAGTCAGAATCAACTTGACAGCAACTGGTGGTTGTGGTATAAACTAAACGCACCCCACCCAGGGCGAAGAGACAGCCTTCTGCTACCCCATTTACAATCATAGATAAAGATGTACTATAATTAACTTAAACATGTATGTTGCTTCCAACCAGAACAATAACTATATAATATATAATTTGGTAATAAACAGCTTTAAACATAAAACTTGTCCATATGTCTGGTTATTTTGTAGACTAGCTTCCAAGAAGTTGAGTTACTGGGCCATTAGGCCTGCCAGTTATTATATGTTCTTGTATATATTGTCAAATTACTTTTAGAAAAACTTAAAAAAAAAACAAAAAAACCCCTAAATTGTAGAACCTAAATTTCCAATGTATATTCCCAGTTGCAGTGAATCAGATAGTGTTTAAATGTTTCATTACCATCAATGGGTATGATCAGCTTTTAAAATTTTTGTTAATAACTAAAAAAGCTTTGTTAATGAGCATTTCTTTGAATAATTTTTCATGTTTATTTGAATTTGCATTACCTATCCATGAAGTGTCTGATTATTCCTTTGCCCAATTATCCCTAGAGTACATACTTTCCTTATTAAAAAAAAAAAAACTATTTCAGAAAATAAACAGATTTTCCTGATTAGAAAAGTAGTATGTGTCTTTTGCAAAAACTAAAATGTTATATAACTATATGATACATAAAATAAAATTTCTCTTATAATCACCAGTTGTCCAGTTGATACAGAACCGATTCCAACTCATGGCGACCCCATGTGTGTCAGAGTAGAACTGTGCTCCATAGGGTTTGTTTTCTTTAAATATAGAATGCTTCACAAATTTGCACGTCTTCCTTGCGAAGGGGCCATGTTAATCTTCTCTGTATTGTTCTAATTTTAGTATACATGTGCTGCGAAGTGAGCACCTCCATAGGGTTTTCAATGCTGACTTTTCAGTAGATTGCCTGGCCTTTCTTCCAAGGCACCTCTGTCTGTACTTGAACCTCAAACCTTTCAGTTAGCAGCTGAGCGTGTTAACTGTTTATACTACTCAGCGGCTCCTCTTACAGTCAGGCCCTCATAATAACCCTGCTATCAATTTCTATACATGTTCATCCAGACACTTCAATGTAACTAACATATTTATTACTCTTATCAGAAATAGGGTCATACTATACATACTGTTCTGCAACTTTTTTTTCACTTAACAGTGAATCTTGGTATCATTCCATGTCACTACATAGTGCTCTATCTCATTCTTTTTAGCAGCTGCATAGTATTCCAAGAATCTTCCTGGCTTTAAAACTATTATAAAAGAAAGAAATCAAAGGGAGGAAAAACAAAAGAACACAGTTTGGGATATATTCAATCTGAAGTTACTTTTGGTCTGTGCTTCTATTGATTGTATTTAAACTGAAGCTTTGAATTTAACAAGCATCCTAACAATAACATGACAGTTGTGCCCTATAGAAAATGTAAATTATATTTCCTTGCTTACCAAATCAATTTAAGATACAAAATGAGACTGTTGCTTTCACAATTTCTAAAAGGATACATTTTCTTATTATTAGGATTCACTGACAACTGTGTAATAAAGTAAAACCTACATTTCCATAGTTATTATGTGTCAAAGTGCCATCTTCTCAAAGCACATTCAGAAAGATGAACACTAAGTGGGGTGATGAGGATAGGAAAAAAGTGCCTAATCCTGCAGTCCTAACTTGTCAGAACTCTCATTAATATTAATGAAATGCTATAAAATTCCAGAGATAAAATGAAATGGTTTTAACTTAACAAGATTTCAAGAAAACTTAAAAAAAACAACAAAAAAACCCCTAAATTGTAGAATTTAAATTTCCATAGCTTTAAAAAATATAATTTATTGGTTGCAATGCATGTGAAAGAGCTAAATTTTAATAGATAATTAAGAAGAGATAAAATACATGAAGTATTAGTAAAGAAACACATTCAATTTCGTTAATTCGAGACAAATAAATTAAATATAATAACAGTCACATTTATTCTTCTTTAGGTGGTAAGCAAATGGGACTTAAAGTATGAGCAATGGATTCTTTCAAAATACAAGTATGACAGATGAAC